CACCGTAAAACCTTTGCTTTGAAAAGTTCCTATAAAAAAGCATAGTGCATAGGGCGACATCTGTAGTGAATAGGGCGAGGTAGATGACATATAGATGTCGCCCTATGTACTAAGTTTGCTACAGCGGAAATAGACGACACGCCATTTCTTTAAATAAAATTAATTGGTGCTCGTTTGTATGTACATACATATGTAAATGCATGTGTGTGCACCTTTCTATTAATATCGTTGAATTATTTTAATATCTATTGCAAAATTTTATTCAGACAGGACTAAAAAGTAGAAAATAAATAATATAAAAAAAACTTTTTAATATACAACGCTTTTATAAATGGACTAAAAAGTAGAAAATAATATTTCTCAGTCCCATAGAATTTGTTTTGATAACTTTTGATTTTGAAATTTTAGCAAAAGTCATTATAAACAATCTATGAAATTGAAAATGAAAAGCGTGGGGCGCATGTAATACAAAGCATTCGATTTAATTGACAATAGTCAAACTACATAACGAAGACCTAAAATTTCTACAGCGAAAGTAGAACTTTGAAATCGATTTTAAGCGGTCGTTATTCATATACCCACATACATACATACATATATTACTTTCCATCAAGAATGATAGAATACAAGATTGCGCCGATCAGAGAGGATTTTTGAGAATAACTTTGGTGTGACGTCACACTGGTGCAATTGCGAGAGAGAAATGCCAAAACGTGAGCAAGAATGGAAGAAGAAGAAAAAATGTTGCAAATAAAATGTAAACAAGTTGCACCAGTGTGACGTCATGCAAACAACGATTCTGTCAAGTTCGTTAAGAGAGGAATAGCGGTCCGAGATCGGCGCAACCTTTGTATTCTCACAATCGTGACTTTTCATATCAATTCAAGTGTATTGCATGCGCTCCACGTTTTTCATTTTCAATTTCATAGATTGTTTATAATGACTTTTGCTAAAATTTCAAAATCAAAAGTTATCAAAACAAATTCTATGGGACTGAGAAATATTATTTTCTACTTTTTAGTCCATTTATAAAAGCGTTGTATATTAAAAAGTTTTTTTTATATTATTTATTTGCCTACTTTTATGTTTTTTTTTTTATTAAGATTTTATGTAAGAATACCCCTGATGAAATTCTTCGGAAAATAACTTTAACCCTTCAGCAACTTCCGAAATGCTATTTTATTTAGACTTTCAAAAAAAACGGCCCTTTCGTGAGAGAGCCAATAGATTAAAAGATTCAACAAAAATTTTATTTCGTGAAATTTTAATAACGTACCCAATACCATATAGATATGAATTTTAAGCCTTTTCCCCTCCTTATTTGATTTAAGTTTTAATTTTTTTTTAGATTTTATCGTTTAAAAAGGAAAATATGTATATTGTTTTTTTGTAATTAAATATTTGCGTACTTTATTTTCTTTTTCTTTCAATTTAACTTTCCTTCTGGTATAAATCTTATTGTTTTAAAAACAAAAATATGTATGTATATTTTTTTATTTATTCAATTTTTAGGATGTTATTACATTTTTTAAGCTTAATTTTTGTCTTGTTTTAATTTAATTTTCTTGTAATTTTTAGATATTTTAAAAATAAAAATATTTTTTTAATTTCATTTGACTTTTAAATGCCGTTTTCTTTATTTTTTTCCTAATATTCAAAAACATATATAATTTTTTTTTGCTTTATTTCCATTTTATAGTGTTTATATTATATTTATTTATTCGTTAGGTTTTACTGTTCTAAAAGAAAAATAAGTATTTTTTTTTATTTCATCTAGGCTCCTTAATAAAGTTCTCTGCATGATACAAAAAAGAAGGTAGTTCCATTTAATGACATTCGTTGTTGTTGTTAACCATTTGACTTTTAATAAAATTATGACATTTCATCAAGTTCATGCTACCTGATCACTAGAAAAAAGATTTTTTTGAAAGCAGAAGATTTTATCAGTACATTCAAAGATGTGGAATATGATGGACTTTAAAATTATACCGCCCACATAATTTCGAAACTGGGGTTGATGACTAGGGTTCAGAACGCATGAGGAAAGTGGCCCCGTTTAACTTGTTAAATGAAAAAGAGCTTTTTGGAAAACACAATCGTCCACATTGAACATTTGGAGTTAACTTTGACGGTTGTTTGATTACCAATAAAATTTCGAAAAAAATATTCAAAATCAAGTCTTTGTGTTTCAATTTGTTTTGTGCGAATGTCTGCTTCATGATATTAACGCATACGGATAACTTAGAGACTTCAAAATGTTTAGTTCGTATGCACTCTTTATCTCTGCGTACGATGAGACCTCATGGGAAATAACTAATTACTGCCTGGGCCTCTTTTTAGGCAGGCAGACATGCATACAATTTTGATATTTTTTGATAATTTTTAATTTATAATAATTTTCTGAATATAAATTTTTTGAACGTTGGCGTGTCAAATGAAAGCTTTTGGGTCTTTCTGATTGGCCGGAGCAGAAAGCTTTCTGATACAACTCTGCGCTGAACTGGTTTTCAAACGAGTTAAAGATTTAACCGGTTAAATTTTCCAACAACAATTGCATGCGATTTAAATTGTTTATGAACATGTTTTGTTCATTTAACTGGTTCAAGCCCATTTAACATGTTTAGCTCGTCAATTTGAACGTAGTAGTAAAGTACAAAACCGCGTATCGTCGTTCTGCAAAACCGCGTAACTGACATTTTTTGCCAAAAATTGGATTTTCTCACACAAGCTCTTGGCTCAAGCCTTATCCATCCGTCCAGAAATATGCTAGCAAGAAATGCGATTGATTTATAAAAAAGAGAATAATTTTGAAATATGAGTGTTTTTACTCTCTAGGAAATAATTTATGCAACTTCACATACGCAGTTTTGCATTTTGTTGATACGCGGTTTTCAGGTTCAGGTTTTTTGCATGCATTAGAAACTTTAAGTTCAAAATTTGTGAAAGCTAATTTGTTGCAAAATCTGATGAGAAAATTAAAAGTAAATTTAAACCAAAATATAAAAAGGTTTTATTTGGGAAGAACATTCTTAAGAATTAGATTTTTAGATCGCATGATTGCATTCAAAATATGAAAACGAAAAAATAACAGCATAATGCGCGCGTGGTTTTTATTATAAGACTTCTTTAATAGTCTATATTTTATATATTTTGAATAAAAAATAGTGCGAGTTACGTAAGTAAAAAAAGTACCAAGCACTGATAATGGTTTTTGATTTGAAATATTATTACATTGGTATAAATATGGGAAGGAAAATACTCCGATTTATTGTTTTAATATTATCAAAGTGGCAAGGCCGATGATAATACTCACAATTTATGAAACTTCAAAAAATTTTATTATCCGTCAAAAGTTGTTTATTGAAACTCATGATGCAATAATGAAAGGTGTTGTACGTTGTGACAGCTCGAAATCGAACTACCTTAGGTCAATATTGTATTTTGGAAGTACAAGATAAACGGGAATAAAAAAAAGCCTTTTAGTTGAAAAAGTACTAAATTGTATGCCTTCTCAACAGCGTTCCGATTATCAGAATAGGTATATATATGGCTTGGTAGTCTCATAAAATTGTAGATAATTAAAATAATAAAATTAGGCGTGTTTTTATTCACAGGAATATGATAATATGCTTAAAATTTTCGAGCTGATGAATACCCAGCTAGAACAGTATGACTTATATAATTCCTTTTATGAGCCGTATCACTAAGAAAATTATCCCTTATGAATTTGAAATGTGTCCCTTATATTGTACAGGCCAAAAAGAGGAATTCATTTACGTGTGATCTTTTGTCCCCCTCTTTCATATAGGCTTCTTGTGCGCATATATCAGGTTTCATAGCTGTTGACCATACCAATAATGCCTCATGCTCAGTTTTACTTGATCAATTCGTGTTCTCGAGAAAAAAAAATTTCACGATTCAAAAATCTGAGTATAGCCGCCAAATTCTTTTCTCAAAATTTTGAAAATTCTTTGTTTTTTGTCCTATATTTGCTTTGTATGGTATTTTCAACAAAATATAGGCCAAAAACGATAAATGTTCAAACTTTGGAGAAAAACAATTTTTCAGATTTTTGGATCGTGAAAATTTTTTTTCTCGGAGAACACGAATTGATCTAGTAAATCTTAGTATGAGGCATTATTGGTATGGCCAACAGCTATCAAACCTGATATAGTCGCACTAAGGTTTTTTTGTGTTCCACAGTGTTATACAAGGGATACTTTGAGGAATCATATAAGGAATTATACATTACCCAAGTCCACGTATATCCAAGTTCGTGTCATACAGCAAGCATTTTCAACCAAAATTCAAACTTTTTTCTCAGAAGTGTTAGAATTTTTTTGAGCACTCAGTTTTATAGCCCCTTCAATTTTAATCTAATTATATGCAAGTTTGAAGTGGCTAAAAATTACCTTAGTTTTTTTAGAATCGATTAAAAACAAATCGTGTTTAATCGTCTTCTATATAAAGAAAACTTCGACCATATATCGATGGCTGAGTAGAAGATCGACCTATCTCGGCAGCCAGGTCGAAAACGCCCGATATCAGAAAGCTTTTCAACGCCCTATTTCAAAATTTGGCTGAAAAACGCCCTATTTTAGAATTTGATTGAAAAATGCCCTATCTCGGAACTCGGTTCAAAAACACCCTATCTCAGCACATTTTCGAAGTATTTTTATTTGAGATAGGACTTTTTTGAACCGACTAATAATAATAAAATATGTACTATATACATATCTAGTTTCAATATAAAAAAATTTATGTACACCATTAATTGTGTATACATATCTAAGTCAATATATGTGATATACATGTACATACATCTACATACATATCGTCGTTTAAAGTACAAAACTATGTATCAATAAATTGCAAAACCGCGTATAGAGATAATGCAAACCCACGTATGCGAGGTTGCATGAATTAATTTCTAGAGAGTAAAAACACTCATATTTCAAAATGGTTATCTTTTTGTAAAAAGCAATCGCATTTTTGGCTAGTATATTTCAGGAAGAATGGATAAGGATTGATCCAAAAACGTGTGTGAGCGAATCCAATTTTTAGCAGCAAATGTCAGTTACGCGGTTTTGTACTTTAAGCGACGATATGTATGTTAACAGGAACGCAGCAATCTAATACACGGGTGGAGCAGGAACGCAGCACAGCAGAAGCATACAAAAAATCTGCAAATAAATGGTTTTTTAGGTTTTTAACAAACGAGAACCTGGTTTCAACTTACTTCAACGTGTCTAAATCACAACGCACACACTAATGCAAAGGCGCAACAGGAACGCAACACTATAAAATACGGGCGGAGCAATATACAGGCGGAGCAGGAACGCAGCACAGCAGAATCGTCCGAAAAATCTGCGAATAAATGGTTCATTAGGTTTTGAAATAACAAAGAGCTCAAATGGAATGGTTCATCAATAAAGTCAAAATAATATGTTGTAACTTACGTGTATTAGCCCTTAATCACAATACCAGCACAGGTCGGTCAGCGAAACACTAAGGAAATGACCTAATAAATGCAAAATTATAACTTATTTGTAAAATAATTCGGTTTTATTACAATACTTACCAAATTTCACGCAATTGGAAAACAAATGTCAGCGAATAAGAACAAAACGAACAACGAAAATTGAATCAATGTAGCTTGTTCAGAATTTTTTCTAATATTTTGGGAAATGTTCAGTGAAAATAGCAAAGAAACAACACAGTTCCTCCTAAGGTAGTTCAAGATGGCGGATTAGAGCGAGAAGTTGCCAACGTATAACACCTTTCATTATTGCATCATGATTGAAACTACCTTCTTTTTTGTATCATGGTTCTCTGGGTACTTTGAATGTTTTCTTAATTTTGTTTTTCTTTCAATCTTTAATTTAATGAACATATGTCTGTAGATATTTCATCGAATTTTAGATTTTATGCCTACGATTTGTCTTATTTCGCTAAAATTAAAAAATGTTTGAGTTCACTGCCGTGCGGAAGCAAGCCTAACGCCAATAGGGACGAAAGCAAAATATGGGCACATCAATTGTGTACAACTAAATTTCCCACAACAGTTCTTCCAGAGCGACTTCCAACGACCGGCAGTAGTGCACTAAGAACTTGGTTGTCGTTAAGTATGTACATCCATATACATATGTGCATATATGAATGTACACGGCGACACAGCAACCAATTGTTGAGGGCACTGCCATGGACGCCTATGCGGGCCGGGTGCAATACAGAGGATAAGAGTTGCACCAGCCACTTCAGGTGGCTGCCGATTACATTTGTGCATTTGTGGTGGTGCTACGGATGCCATCGCACAAACACAACTGTACACAAATCGCGTTTGCCGTTGTCGTGCTTGGATAAGCTTGCAGAACACTATAAAAGTTGAAATGTGCAGATTACACGCGCTTATGCAACTTTTGAATTTGAATTTGCATCGTTCGTTTTTTTTTGTTTTTCCATTTTTCTTTCGCCAAAAATCAGCTACCGCGGGGTCGTTTGTACGCCATGTGCATAAGTACATATGTATGCATGTATGTATGTACATAAGCGTTAATATGTGTGCGAGTAGATAACGCACATGAGCACGCGAGTGCAGTATGTCCTTGCTGGATGTACAACCTACACTTGCGGAGTGCGATCATGGCTGCTTGACTGCATACACAGTTGGCTGCGTTAACAACGAGCCCATACTCATACACCCTGTAGGGTATTACATTGGCACGCAATATTCATATATGCATGTGTGGATGTTGCCAACGAGCGCTTGCAAGCCTGCTAGCGCTGATGTTGCATTGCGAAATTTCAAGAAATTCAGATATATGGCGACCGAACAAGTACATACCTGCATTTGCAACACGCTATATCAGAAGCCATGCACACGCATAACGCACACACACGCATACATAGGTGCATATGCTCGATGCTTTTTGTCGTTACGTTATTTAGCTTGCCTTGTGTTTTGTATTTCCGCTTCCGCTAGCACGCTATCAGCACGCATTCAAGCTCACAAACGTGTACGCGCACACAAATAAACATACCGATAGGCCAGGCGCACACAAATGCTATAACGGCGCGAATTCGCATGCATTCAATTTCCTCTCTGCGTGCTTTTGTGTGGCTGTGTGTGCTAGCGCGTTAGTACCCTGTAGAGAAAAGCTTAACTGTTCAACAAACATTCGAGTAGAAAAACTGCTGCAACCTGAAGCTGAAGATGACCAGTTCTATAGTTTAGAAATATGTCACATACTGAAGCGAAAGCTGACTAAAATGTCAATGTCAGCACAAAGCCATAGGAATACCAGTGGTGTCATACCAATTGACGGCAGGGTTCAATAGACACCACCAAGGTATCACTCTAATGGCTTCTTGTACTGAAAGTATCCATACCTACTCAGTATTGGCAAAATATCGCGTAATTACTTGAATCATTTCCATTTGCTACTCTTTTAGGTTGTAAAAAGTCGGACGATGTCATTTTACCAACATTTACAAATCTGCTTGTCACATCAAATAAAGAACCAATCAAGTTTGGCAAAGAAAGCATATATATTTCATTTATTTTCGAACGAATTTCCCTTATCAAATTTGGTTTGGTGACACCCTCGATTCCTGCGTTGTGCCATTTTCTGCGTCGAAAAACAAAACATTACGCTTGAAAAATGATGACGGAAATTCGTTTCAAAATAAATCATCTTCCCACCCTGCCGGAAAAAGAAAAGTATCGAGTATTTACTTGTATCGATGACAAGACACACTTAAGCTCAGGGCCCGTTGTGATGCTACATATGGGGTCGGCAACACTCAATCACTCCTAATACAATTTCGAGCAGCAATTTTAAAAGATATCTGATCTCCATGCATACAAGGTTTCCCATGTTATCGAAGAATTGTCAACCCAGACTGGAGAGTCTTCGCCTGGATAGAACAAGGGCATTGTTTCCTCCTATTTTTCATCTTGACAACTTCTACCGAAGTCATGTAACCATATGCCCAGTCGGTAGGAGAATTATATAGTCCTGTTTTATGACACCAACAAACTAACATTATCACCCCTATGCTGTAATCCGAAAGTTCGTAGTTACGAATTCGTAGCTCCGTTCCGAAAATTCGAAAATTGGTATGCTGTAATCCGATCGTAACTATCAACGGCGTTACTGACTAAAATAGTGAAATTTGAAGTTCTTAATCAGCCGCTTTGACAGAAACAAATCAAAATAAATATAATCGCAAGTGAACAGTGAAATTAAAAAAAAAATTGTTTAATCGTATTTGAAAAAGCTTTTCCTTAATTAAGTAAAATAGAATGGATTCAGTGGCCGGTGCACTTTTGTCTCAGGAGGAAGAACATGCTGCAGTCAACTGTTGCATTAATATACAAAGGAGATTGCTACGAGACAGTTCTGATCCATTTACCTTAAATGATAAATATATGTTCCCTCTTTTTATGGGCGTCCATTCAACTAAATATTGTGTTGCTTTAAATCTTGCAACGCTTTCCCAAAATTCCACCACATCCTCTTTAACTATTACAAAGCCTCGGGCAATGTCCGGCCTTTCGCTCATGCTTTCCACCAGTTTTTCGTATTGCGAGCGATTTGTTGTGATTGTCGACATGATAATTTTGTAAACATTTAATAATACATTGGTTTTTATTCACACTTCAACTTAAATACATATTTTTGCGTTTCCACACTTAATTTTATTGATATTTTAAAAGAATTCGCTTCGCTCCGACACCAGTTGCTTACCGTCGGTAGGCGAATTATATAGAGTCCAGTTTTACGACACCAACAAACTAACATTATGCCTAGGCTCAGTATTAAGCCCATGCGTTTATCGCTGAACGAAGACCACAATTTCGTGGCAGTTTTGCAGGTTTGATTTCGTCATGCCATCTGTCGTTCGCTACATTAGTGAGCCCTGTCGGAAGCAAGTAGCTTACAAGTTTCATCTTTTACATCCTTAATAGGGAGTTTGATGCCGAGTCGCGCCAGTTCATCGGCTTTACAGTTCCCCTCAATGTCTCAGTGTGCCGGAACCCATATCACCTTTGGACGAAACGACTCAGCCATCCCGTTAAAGTAGGTGAGGCATTTCATGGCTACCATAGAGATTGTCTACCCACCATATCACTATACCGTGATAGAGAATTTACTTAACTACTGCTGCTTAGACTCAGATATTTGGTCTCTGCCTTTACTGCAATGTTCTTCCCGCAAGAGTAATATGATCGAGATCAAGTATCCCGTGCTTCCTTTACGGAATTCACTTCTAGTCCTTGCCTGTTACACTATAGGAATAGTTTGTTGAGAGTTCTGTGAATTAGATCGGCCAATGTTGAGATTTGTTTACCCGAGATAACTATTACAATCTCGTCGGCGTATGCAATAATCTTTCCATGAATATCTTCAAGTTCTTGAAGGAGGCTGTCTACTGCTATGCTCCTAAGATGAGGAGAGATAGCACGTTTTATGTTATCCTCGCTAATAATGTTTACCGCGAAGGCAACGCAGAAAGGGCGTTCATATTAGAAGCTCAAATGTTTCTTCGCTGCTAATTGTCCAATCCACATCTTTCTTGACGAGGTAACTATGTTGCTAGAACTCATGTATAGTATTTTGCGTAGTCCGCTGACCTCTGAAATACTTTCTATCTGCAGGCAGAAGTTTCTCCATGAGCGTCTCTGACTACCTACTAAAATCTTTGTGCATAGGGAAACAATTTTTTTTTTTTTCATTTTCATTTAATTTGAAAAAAATTCCATACCTTTAAGCGGGCGTGAACCTTGGATAACAGAACTTGAAGCGGTTGTCTGAACTTGTCGTATTCTACCAGTTTAGATTTAAGTAGAATATTTACAGACCGGTTGTTGGGAGTTCAAGTTCTTATTGTCGTTATACTGGACCAAAATTAAAGAAAAAATCTACTGTTCATGACAGCTTTAGAAAATTACGAATTGCTCTAACAACTTTGCTCAGAAATTAAACAAAAATTGCACCAAATGTAGTACAACATTTAGAATACCGATTGGGAAAAAACTTGAATTTTGATGGCTACAACGGATTTAATATTATTTTGACGAGCTTTGGAAAGAGCAACGTGGTTAGACTCCACACCATGATCGAGAAGAGAGTAGGGCGGTCTACAGAGCGATTTATCGTTCGAGTACAAGAAGAACCGAGGGCACATTTTCTAGCGATACTTTGAGTAAGTAGTATCGATTATTCTCTTTGATACTTTTAATTAGCACAGACATCGAGTACATGGGGGTATCGGATGAACACTATGTATGTATAAAGATGGCGAAATGGTTCAAATGATAGGGCTGTTGAATTCAATAGTTCGAAACTACTTCCGTTTTCCTGCAGAGAGCTTTCACTGCAGGATACCTGCAGGCATTTATGTATCTACATATGTACATAGATACTCATACATGCATATGCATTGAGTTGGCAAAGTGGCGGCAGCGCTTTTGTCGCGCAGAAACCATTCGCGCATGCATCGTCTTTTATGTTCTTGCTTTTGTGCATCTCATTTCATTCATTTCCCCATTGCTTTACTTTTTTTCTTTTCTTTGCACACCAACCAAGTGAGCAGCCATAACGGATTGTTTAATAT